GGTTTTTATTGCTAAAATGCCTCAAACGTTACTGATATTCCATGAAGTAATGGAGACAATTTGATCAACATTTTAAAAGAAATGGTTGGCAATTTCAGCAGCTGACCTCAAGACTTCCATTGTATACTGCTCCTTCTTGTTTTCAAGGTTGATTTTTGAGCAGTTTTACCTGGTCCCCCGATTGATGGGGCTCCTTGGCTTGCAGGAGTTTATGGAGACCCACCGTAGCCACCCAGGGAGTGGACTACATTCCAATGTAGGGATGCTACAATTGTTTTCTATGTGCCCTGCAAGCTTGCATTGATCTGCATGGTGTGAACAAGTCTTTAGAGTGCAGGTGACTAGACTTGTCATCTGCCAAGATGGCTTCTAAGTACTTAGGTTTACTTTTGCGCCACTAAATATCTCAGTTTTCAGTGATTAAGGAAAAACCTACCTCCACATTGATGAAATAATTGAAAGAATCTATGTGTTGCTTCACAAGGCCTTTCACCTGTCAGGAGCAAACAATGGCAGAAAAGGGAATCACAATGATACCTTCATTTGATGCAACAAATAAACAGAATGATTAGCATATCAAAAGCAAAATGTTTTATTTTATTTAGTCAACTCCAGGAAACTTTAAAGTTCTACTTTGTAGAAGAGCTGACACCCACTCTGCAAGAGTAACAGCTTGTTAGGCCTAATGAACTTGTTATAGTAGATTTACTCACCTGATTCTCTGCTCCCCAATGCTGCTACACTAGTCCCTACAGTCTCTTCTCCCTGCACTCCAGAGGTCTAAGGTCCTGACGGCAACAAGACCAATGCAGAGTCCATAGCCCTGCACTGGACATGAGGACGTTGACGGACAATCTGCCACCAAAGCATGGGAGAGCGCTGCCTGCTGGGGGAGTGGAGGATCAGCAAAGTAAAAATATAGAGAACTCTACAAAGACACAAGCAGCAATAAAAAAATAATAATTTTGGCAATGGTGGCACTAGAAATAAGCTATTGTTATATTTGACGCCCAAAGAAAATATCTAATATTATATCAAAGAAATGTAAAGTACACTTTAAAGTTATCCTGTGCCTAGGTTATGTACATTAAAATATATACAGTACATAGTCTGAACAAGTAGTAAAGGCACTATTCACCTCTGTAGCTATAGAGGCTGTGGAGAATTGTTTCCTAAAATTTCACAACACTGCCACTGAAAACTCAGCTATTTCATATTTCAGCAATCTTGACAGCCTGCCAGGCCTCTACTGTTAACAGACGACACATGTAAACCATCAAAAATATAAAGAAACCTACTGTTTCAGATTTGGCCATAACTGTGGCACATATAATTTCTGATTAAGGTCTCCATAATGTAGTAAAGGTTTCAGGTTTTCACATCTGAATTTGGAGAGGAAATTTTGACAAGAGCTACAGGAAGACTAGTATATAGCATGCCATACACAGCTTGAATTTCTGATGATTCCTGCTCAATCATCCAAAATTTGAGCCAGCCAAAAAACATCCATTGAAAAATTACCTGAGCTGGGTGGAAAATTATTGGCTGAAAAGCAACTGCATCCTATCAGATGCAGTCACCATTCAGGTATGCAGGCAGCCGCAGGTGCTGCAGTTGCCCGAACAGCTGTCAGTGGAAATTCCTTCTTTCATGCTGTTTAGTGTAGATATTGGAATCTCTTAATTTTCCACAGGTTGAATGAAAGACACCTACAGTATATGTGTACAACCAGCCTTAGAACCCTGCAGGAATACATAATTCAAATTACAAGCTATTGAGTAATACTCTTAAGTTGCAAATAACACATTTTTACATGGGTACAATGGAAATCAGTATTTTGTACCTTGAGAAAAGCTGGCAGCAGTTTCCATTTTTCCTGCAAGACAAAAGAAAAATATTACAAGGACTTCAATAAACTGTAAAAGACATCCATAGGTAAGAAGCTGAAGCTGCATTGATGAAGAAAAAAAAAAATTGGAGCTGAGATTGTTGACTTTCTTTTAAAATGTGTATATGTAAAATAAAAAATTTCCTATAAAGAAGTAAACAATAATCTCCGCTACTGCTTTTGCTGTCGAATGCTGCTCTAGAGCAGAGACATTGCCACCGGAAGTCTCTTTGGAAGCCATCAATTTCCTGCAGCTCCCCACCCACAGCGCTCAGTGGTCCCTCCCACTGACTCCCATGTCATTACAAGACAGTAATGACATAGGGGTTGGCAGAAGGAAACGCTGAGCTCAGTGGATGCCCAGGCATTCAACACTCCTTATATGATGTTTTCTGACATATCTTCAGGTAGTGGCTTTTCTGCAGTACATTAGTATTGGGTGGCATGGGCAGCAGGAGAGGTATTTACCATCCACTTTATAGGGCAAGGTAATCCCTGTAAATCCAGACAGAGGCTGCTGAAAAGGGAAAGTATATCCCTGATTTTGTTAGCAGTATTAGTATTATTTCGAATACAAGTGACCCCGTGCTGACTCCATGCTACTATTAACAATCGCCAGGCTATGTAGCAGTATTTGTTCCCAAAGTCTTGAGCTTCCCCACTCAAAATTTGTATGGCTGCTTCTATTCTTGCAGCACTTCTCTAGACTTCTGGATTGGAAAGTGCTCATTTTTGGATCGGATGACCTCCTGCTTTGGGACTCTATGTCCCACGATTCCTCGCACCCAGCCTGTACTGAACTTGTGTATCTGCTCTAATGCTATAAGGTGGCCCCCTGCATCCAGTGGATAATGCACATGTGCCTGCTCTAATACTACCAGGTGGCCTCCTGCATCTATTCCATACTGTGCTTGTGCACCCGCTCTAATACTACCAGGTGGCCTCCTGCATCCAATCCATACTGTGCTTGTACACCCCCTCTAATACTACCAGGTGGCCTCCTGCATCCAGTGGATAATGCACGTGCCCGCTCTAATACTACCAGGTGGCCTCTTGCATCCAATCCATACTGTACTTGTGCACCCCCTCTAATACTACCAGGTGGCCTCCTGCATCTATTCCATATTGTGCACCCGCTCTAATTCTACCAGGTGGCCTCCTGCATCTATTCCATATTGTGCACCCGCTCTAATTCTACCAGGTGGCCTCCTGCATCTATTCCATATTGTGCTTGTGCACCCCCTCTAATACTACCAGGTGGCCTCCTGCATCCAATCCATTACTGTGCTTGTACACCCACTCTAATACTACCAGGTAGCCTCCTGCATCCAATCCATACTGTGCTTGTGCACCCCCTCTAATACTACCAGGTGGCCTCCTGCATCCAATCCATACTGTGCTTGTGCACCCCCTCTAATACTACCAGGTGGCTTCCTGCATCCAATCCATGATGTGCTTGTACACCCCCTCTAATACTACCAGGTGGCCTCTTGCATCCAATCCATACTGTGCTTGTACACCCACTCTAATACTACCAGGTGGCCTCCTGTATCCAATCCATACTGTGCATGTGCACCCCCTCTAATACTACCAGGTGGCCTCCTGCATCCAATCCATACTGTGCATGTGCACCCCCTCTAATACTACCAGGTGGCCTCTTGCATCCAATCCATACTGTACTTGTGCACCCGCTCTAATTCTACCAGGTGGCCTCCTGCATCTATTCCATATTGTGCTTGTGCACCCCCTCTAATACTACCAGGTGGCCTCCTGCATCCAATCCATACTGTGCTTGTACACCCACTCTAATACTACCAGGTAGCCTCCTGCATCCAATCCATACTGTGCTTGTGCACCCCCTCTAATACTACCAGGTGGCTTCCTGCATCCAATCCATGATGTGCTTGTACACCCCCTCTAATACTACCAGGTGGCCTCTTGCATCCAATCCATACTGTGCTTGTACACCCACTCTAATACTACCAGGTGGCCTCCTGTATCCAATCCATACTGTGCATGTGCACCCCCTCTAATACTACCAGGTGGCCTCCTGCATCCAATCCATACTGTGCATGTGCACCCCCTCTAATACTACCAGGTGGCCTCCTGCATCCAATCCATACTGTGCATGTGCACCCCCTCTAATACTACCAGGTGGCCTCCTGCATCCAATCCATACTGTGCTTGTACACCCCCTCTAATACTACCAGATGGCCTCCTGCATCCAATCCGTACGGTGCTTATACACCCCCTCTAATACTACCAGATGGCCTCCTGCATCCAATCCATACTGTGCTTGTACACCCCCTCTAATACTACCAGATGGCCTCCTGCATCCAATCCATACTGTGCTTATACACCCCCTCTAATACTACCAGATGGCCTCCTGCATCCAATCCATACTGTGCTTGTACACCCACTCTAATACTACCAGGTGGCCTCCTGCATCCAATCCATATTGTGCTTCACAACCATGACAGACCAGCCCCCCACCAGCACTGCCCAATCACACTGTAACAGGTACTCAGATGGTCCTGGCATGTGCAGTTCTGAGCCGAGCATCACAACCATATATAGAAAAATGCCTGTTTTTTTCTGGCTGCAAGTAAAAATATTGATGGTTGGCAACACTGGGCACCAGTTCTGGTGACAACTAAATGGATTCACTTTGGAGCGATTCACTGTCGCTTCCTGCTGTGTCACTGGGACAGGAAGTGAAGGCAATTCACCCCAATGGAAGACCGAGAGCAATAAAATTATAGGGTTTAGCCCTACGACAATCTAAACAAAAACTATCTTAGATATGGGCTTTAGTTATATTGTAAGGCTCACCCATATACATAATAATCTGATCGTAAAATCAACCTTATATCTATCTTAACAATAATAATAGGACAACCTACCTAGGCTGTCCAATTGGTTTGTACTCAATCAGGCAGGCCCTTGCACTACCTACTTGTTGGCAGATCTAAAAGAAATTGTACAAATCAGATTGTAACGTGTATGGAGAGCCTTTGATTCCCATTCTAAGTGCGCGGCGATCGGCGGTGCGCTGTGTACCTCGGACACAGCGGATCACCGATCAATGGAAAGAGCCGAAGATGTTGGCTTGGTCATGTGATCAGCTGTGTCCAATCACAGCTGATCACATGTAAACAGGGAAATGCCAGTTATCGGCATTTCTCTCCTCTCAAGCTGTCACGCTGACAGCTCGAGAGGAGAGCCGGTAATCGGCATTCCTCGGAGGGGACATGTACACAGATTATCAGAGCACTGATGATCAGTGTGCCCTGATGATCTGTGTAGCCCCAGCAGCACCACCTGTCAGTGCTCATCAATGCCACCTGCCAGTACCCATCAGTGCCACATTTCAGTTCCTACCAGTGCACATCAATGCCACATATCAGTGCCCATCTGAGCTGCCTTTCAGTGCCACCTATCAGTGCCGCCTAACAGTGCCAGTCAGTGCCACCTAACAGTGCCAGTCAGTGCCGCCTAACAGTGCCATATATGAGTGCTGCCTTTCAGTGCCCATCAGTGATGCCTGGCAATGCCCATCAATGCCACCTACCAGTGCCTCATTAGTGCCACCTATCAGTGCAGCCTAACAGTGCCCATCAGTGCAGCCTCATTAGCGCACATCAGCAAAGGAGAAAAATCACTTATTTACAAAATTTTAACAAAAACGAAGAAAAAAATGTTTTTTTTTTCAAAATTTTAAACGGTTTTTGGTTTGTTTAAGAAAAATAAAAAACCCAGGAGGTGATTGAATACGACCAAAATAAAGCTCTGTAAAAAAAATTATAAACATTTTATATGGGTACAGTGTTGCATGACTACGCAATTGTCAAAGTGTGACAGCGCTGAAAGCTGAAAATTGGCTGGGCAGGAAGGGGGTATAAGTGCCCTGTAGGCGAGGGGTTAAACAATTTACTTACTGTCTTGTCAGATATGAACAGTGAAATAATAACATGTCCATACAATAATATAGCAGATGCAGGTAGAAGGGAAGAAGCCTGAGATCTCACCTCCACTGTGTCCACAGGAGCTAGGAGCTGCTGCTGGCTGAGGTCTCCAAACTCTTCTTCTAACACCTCCATATCAGCTTCTCCTGCGGCTACAACACATGGAAGACCTGAACAGTGCGCCGTGTAAAACCTTCCCACCAGCTCAGGAGCCACACAGCGAACGTTCCGCCTCTCTCTAGTCCTAAACAAAGCACTAAGCGGCCATGTTTGAAGTGGGTACAGTCGCTACATCTTCACACTAGAGGGAAACGGGAAACCATATTCGATGCTAGACTACATCTATACAGCTCCTAACTATAGATACGAGCTTTACATGAACCACATCTTTGTAATGTACACTTTTCTACGAGGCACCTGCCTGGATTAAATATGGCTGCTTCTTCTTCAGGATTCCTATAGCTGCTTCAGAATAGTTCACCGAAACGAATTTTCCCAGTGCCAAGCTTTTCTTTGGGTGTATTTTGGAGGAGTCTTTTGCTAACTTTATAGTGTATAAGAGAAAATGCTCTGTGCTGTATAAGCTTCATAAACAATAAACACCCTAAACCAATCAAAAATATATCAAATGGCAAAAAAAGTGAGAGAATATTGTGCATCAAAATCAATGATGAACATTGCAATTCTCAAATTTGAATAAATGTGCAACAAATTCAAAGAAATATAGCAACCAGCTTAAACTAATCTGCAAATATAAATCGATAGATACACATAGGTATGATGGGTGCAAAAATAGATATATTAAAATTAATTATGAATATTTGATCACCTCTGCATTTTTTATTTTTTGCGCTATAAACAAAAAAAACCTACAATTTTAAAAAAAAGAATATTTTTGACTTTATGCTATAAAACATGTCCAATAAAAAAAATGTAAAAAATAAAATTTCATCATAAATTTATGCCAAAATGTACTTTGCTACATGTCTTTGATAAAAAAAAAGCCCAACAAGTGTATATTAATTGGTTTACGTGAAAGTTATAGCGTCTACAAATGGCGGTGTATATATATTATGGAACATATACTGGAATTTGTTTTAATACTAGTAATGGTGGCAATCAACAACTTATAGCGGGACTGCGGTGGGCATTCTGACACTGGGGGAGGGGAACTGACTAAAGCAGGCCATAGACGGGTCGAACATCGGACAATTAAAAAAAAAAACAAAAAAACAAAAATCGGTTATTCAATCAGCCAACGTTACCACCAACGTTAAAAAAATCAGCCGATGTTCGACCTGTCTATGGCCGGCATTAACCCAATAACTTCAGTCCCATGCAGAGACTTCTTTTTCTTCCAGGTCACGGCTCATGCACAGATTTTTTATCGGTAATGGGCCAATTTGACCATCATTGCCAGGAAAATCGGCCGCAAATTTTCCAACATGCCCGATAAAAAAATTGCGCAAAAACCCTGAAAAACGGCCGACCAATTAACCCACTTCGACTTGTCTATGGCCGGCATAACTGCCACTGACATTTCCAGTGACACTAATACAGCGATCAGTGTTAATAAAAAACACTGCCACTGTACTGACACTGGGCAGAAAGGAGTTAACATATGGGGTGATCAAAGGGTTAACTGTGTGTTGTAGGGAGTGTTTTATTGTGTACTGTTTTAATAAGGAGACCTGCTGCTTTCTATCTCTGCTGTGCAGATAGATAGAAAGCATTACATCCATGCTAACAGGAGAGAGATCTGTGTTGTTTACACACAGATCTCTCCCCTTTTAGCTTCGGCAACGATCACCGAGTCCTGGCCAAAAATCCATGTCGAGGACCCAGTGATTGACATCCTAAGGAGCCAATAGCAGCGCAGGCAGGGTGGTGCATGCACCTACCTGGAAATGCAGAATCACGTATATTTACATGATTTTGCCCAATGAAGCTGCCCTGTAGCAGTACATCTGCTATGGGGCGATGGGTAAATGGTTAACTTCTAAAAATCCGCACCACTGCACTGCAACCATGTGCATTGCACATGACTGCAGCACGGCCCCCAGTATTGCCCACTGAACCCAATAGGGGGATAATGGTTGTCGTACCGCAACGCAAAGCATTGCAGTCTCAGCCTATGCCTTTTGCAGCTTAAAAGAGAACAGTTTGGGGCAGAAAAAAATGCAGCTGAACTCTGTGTTTTTACCATTTCCAGACCATAAGTGTAAGGCTGCTTTCACACTGCTCATGCATATGCATTTTTAATGCATTTTTTGTGCTTTACTGGGCACCTGTTACCATGCGGTTATAAGTGTCAGTACCGCTATAGGTGCAACCCTGCTTATAACTGCATGTCATGCCGGCGCTGTATGTATTTCCAGAAAACTTTTTTGCATTGAAATGTGTAATGTGAATGGGAACTTCGAAGCCTACTAAGGACATGGCAGAATTTGTAAATACATTTTGTTACGTGCAAGAAATAATACATGCACCAGTAAATATATGATTTTCAAGAAGATGTGGGTTCACTGCCAACATAGCTTTGAAACATAAAACATTTTTTACATGGGGATCCATGTGTGTCTGAGTCTTGGCCCTGTTAGTTGGCATGACGGTGGGACAAAAAGGACAATGAAATTCTGCTTAGAAACAGGTATTGCATTCTTCCAACAGAAACATGGACTTCCATGATCACTAAAGATTTCAACATTAAATTGCTTTTAGAAAGACAAAGAGGGCAAAAGACAACAAATCCAGTGTAGAAAGTTAATTTAAAGTGGTTTTTACCCCTTGGCGCCTCCCGGCCCTTTAAGGGTTTCAGAAGCCGAGAGGCGGGGTGGGTTTTTAAGGTCATGTGACCGCCGTGATTCATTGTCACATGATCGGGAAAGGTCCCAATCGAAAGAGATCGGGACCTTTCCGTGAGTACCAGACATGTGTGCTGGGAACGCGCAGGGCACGTGCTCTCAGCACATATGTTTTTGTTAATTGCACGCAAATGTGTGGCCACTTGGCGTCAAGGCCCAGCCGCCTGGAGGTAGCATATGCGTGCGGCCGGCTTGAAGAGGTTAAGGATCAAGGTATTTACCATCATACATCCTATATATGAGGGTAAAAACCTTCTGCGTGCAGGAGCCACACCCCCCCAGCACCCCCTAACACTTACCTGAGCCCCCTCCTGATCCAGCCATGTCCACAAGAGCCTTAGTTCTCCAGGGACTCTTACTTCTGATTGGCTGTGGCAGCAGCAGGAACCACTGGCTCCCGCTGCTATCAATTAAAGCCAGTGAGCCAATCAAGAGAGGGAAGGGTTGGGGTGGAGCCTAGGCTCTGTGTGTGAATGAACATACAGTGCCGCGGCTTGGGAACAATCCTGCTCTGGTGCCCCCAAAGCAAGCTGTTTGTTATGGGGGCACCTGAAAGGAGGGAGGGGCTGTTCTGTGGAAAAACACTGCAGGTAAGTGTAGAAAATTTAATTATTATTTATTTTTGTTTTTTGTTTGTTTTACTAAGTAACTAAGTGACTTTACTATCACTTTAAGTACAACACTTTAACCACTTGAATACTGGGCACCCCCTTCCTGCCCAGCCTAATTTTCACCTCTCAGTGCTGCCGCACTTTGAATGAAAATTGCGCGGTCCTGCAACACTGCACCCATATGACATTTTTATCATTGTTTTCACACAAATAGAGATTTATTTTGGTGGTATTTAATCACCACTAGTTTTTTATTTTTTGTGCTATAAATGAAAAAAGATCAAAACATTTTGAAAAAAAAATGCCCTTTTCCTTAGTTTCTGCTATAACATTTTGCAAGTAAATAATTTTTCTACACAAATTTAGGCCAAAATGCATTCTGCTACATTTCTTTGGTGAAAATAACCCAAATCAGTGTTTATTATTTAGTTGGTAGGAAAAGTATAGAGGTCACAAACTATGGTATATATGTAAAAATTGATAAATCCTGATGTACTGATGGCCTATCTCAGGCCAAGAACTGAGGTATTTAGCAAGAGGCACGGCGAGTATTTTGAAATTGTCATAATTTTGTGGAAAATGAAGAAATGAAAACATTTTTCCACATTTTTTTTCTTTACATAGTGTTTTCAATGCAGTACAGCATCATCATATGACTGGTGCGACGGTGATCAGGGACACTGACTGGCGACTGTAACATTGTACTACACTGGGAAAGTGATCAGGAATTTTTTCCTTTTTTTTATGCATTATGATACCCTATACAAACGAAGTTCATTGGTATAAGCAAGCGTTTATACTGAATGAAATTGATTCATTCAGTAATTTTTGTTGTGATCAGCTGTAATTGGCCACAGCTGATCACATGCTACAGATGGGCTGTGATTGGCCTAGTTTGTACATGTGGCCACTGTGACCAACCACAGCTAGCAGCAGTTGTAAGCAGTGAATGGAATGAAAGGAAGCTAATCATTGTTTACAATTGTCATGTTATCTGCTGTGATTGGTCACAGCAGATCACATGATACTGGCAGCAGGCCGGTGTAGTGATCTGTCATTGGCCATGTGCGCTAGACA